GCTTCTGCTGCCCCCACCCTGCTTCCATCCACCCCACAGCAGCAGAAGAGGTGAGCCATTAGGCAGCTCCTGTCACTGTGCCCACCCCACGTGTTCACAGCCGGAGCAGCTCTGGGAAAGACCCTTCCATTCCCACCACAGCCTAGGGTCCAGAGCAGCGCCAGTGCCGGTGCTGACTGTGTGGCAGAGGCCTCGGTGGGTCGCACTGACGGAGATCAGGCAGGGAGCGGTGGCAGAGTCAGCAGGGCAAGGGAGCAGCAGGGACCACAAAGACCACAGCCTGTGCAGTCTGCCTCCATGGCAGCTGCAGAGCTGTGTTCTAATGAGCACTTTTGGGGTAAAAAACTCTGCCTTTTGGGGTAAAAAAAGACAGCTTTCCCTGTTTTGTGCAAGGAAGCCTAGTGCGAGTCTCACTGCCAAAAACACTAGGAAGTTCTTGCCGCTCAGAGCCAGGAGGCCAAAGCTGCACTGCAGAGAAAATGACAGGTGCATGGGGCTAGTCCCGGGGTTCAGTCTCAACTCTGCCCCGCAGTCACCAAGCAACCCGGATGCTGCTCCTCGGTCCTTTCACTGTGAAACCAGGTGCAGCTCAAGAGTGAGGTGAAACCCAGCACTTCATTTCCTGCTGGTGCTCCAGGCCAATGCCGCAACAGAGAACAGGGCCCCAGGAGGAAACAGTGTGGCCCTTCTCAGGGGCGCCCGGACACGGACCTCTCTCCTACCCAAGACCAGCAATCCCCTCCCCGGCTCACACACCAGCTGCTCCCCAGGTGTGCCCAGCGGTCACATCCCTTCTCTGCTTACAATAAAGCCTGCATAAGGCTTTTTACCTCTCAGGGAAAACACCCGAGATTATGATCAAGAGTGATACTTACTCAAAGACTTCCAGAGGAACAGTGATGTCATGAAGCTGCTGCCTGCACTTGTCAATGTCCTGCAAGCCAGTAACGATGAAATTCCTGCAAAAAAGACAAAATGAGCATTTGGTTAATTCTGGCAGCAGCGTAAGCACCCCCACCAATGCCCAGGGGCAGCTTAAGTAAGTATCCTACAGGGACACCGGGTCACAGCAGTGCCCTTACAACACATGACTCACAAAGCTGGACTTATAAAATATAGTGCCCTCAAATATTCGATTTTCCTTTTAAACTAGAGAATGCCAATATGCAGGCTGCAGCTTTCTGAGAATGAAAATAGGAACCTCTCAATACCATTAACCTGGTTCTTCATATGACTGTGTATGGGGTTAGTGTCCAGTACAGGAGGCTCCTGTTTCAACACCAGCATGCAGACTCTGCGGGAAGAAATATCCTGTCCAGATTAATTTCAGCTCCCTCCTGGGCCATGCTAGGTCAGCCAGCGGCCCGGACCCCTGGTCATTCCCATAGCACTGCCAAGTGCAACCTCATAGGGCGTATTTGTGCCCCTTGTAATGCGGTGAGCCCTTCTCCAGAGCATTCTGCACATGAATGTGATCAATACACAGTGAATGTTTTGATATCATTTTCAATTTCTTACAGTACAGACACATGGCCATGAATCTCTCTCAAAATATCCTACTCGCTTTGAACACACTTATCCCATGTTACTGCCACCTTCTGCAGCAGCTCGGGGAGTCCTCTTTCTTCAGTGTCTTTAGTTGTTCCTTCCTGGCAGCCCTCTAGGATCTAAATCAATTCAAAGCGTTTCCCTTTGACTTTGAGATGAGCCAGAAGTCGCACAGCGCCTGATCCATGAATAAGATGGATGGGGACACAGCCTGATGGTTTTATCAGTCTGCCTTTCTGTTGGATTGCACCGGGCAGCAGCATTCATGTACTTCTGATCACGCCCGTAAAAACACAGTGACAAAAGAGGACGCCCAAGACTTCTTCAGAAAGTGGCAAGAGCGATGGAACAAGTGTGTCAGAAGCGAGAGGCAGGACTCAGGAGGGCGCGCGGCGATGTCTTTTACCGCAACAAATGTTTAAAAGCTTAAACGCACACCATTTTTCTAGTCGGCCTTTGTATCTGCCGCTTCTCCAGGCCAAGGCCTAGCAGCAGGCCAGACACTCGCGTAA